CCGGGGTGTAGGGAAAAAAGGGGAGACCCCCCCCCCCCCGGCAGCGAGCAGCGGCGGGCGCGGAAGGGGCAGCAGCTCCGCGGGGAGGGGAACCAAACAGAGAGAAGGTCCTTCAGGGCGGGTGAGGGTGCGGAGGGATGCTCGGCTCTACCTGCGGCACACTGGGGCGAAGATGCAGCCTCGCGTTCGGCTCCAGGCAGTTAGGATGAAACATTGCATTGGAAGCATACGTATTATTAGCATCCGTAAGACGAACAATGTCCTTGGGACGGTAGTTTCTGTGCAGCCGGGTTTTTTTTAATAACACCAAGGGAAACAGTGGTGTTAGGCGTTCTTTTTCAATTTCAGTTCACAAACGCTAGGGCCGTACTTACAGCTCATCTGCCTCTTTCCCACCCGCGCTACACCTTCCCAAACGGAGCCGGGTCCGAAACAACCAGGGTGTCAGGGCTGGCGGCGGAGCTGCTGGGGCAGCGTGCCGGGCAGGGAGGGTCGGCAGCGGTGGGGAACGGGGCTGCTGGTGGTGACGAGGCTGCTGGAGCCGGTGGGCAGAGGTCCAGGCTGGCAGGATCGCAGCCGTTGGTTGAATATAAGGAGGAGGCTTCCGAAGGCGTTCGCGTGTTGTCTCACACTTTACTCCCAGGCCCTTACGATTCCTTGTACCAGCTGATTCGTACAAAGACAGCTAAATGAGAGACACCTTTGATAAGTTAAATGATGAAAATCGGCAGAGCTTAGATGACTCTAATTATAAACATGTCTAAAATGAACATGTCTGCCAGCTCACAGCAGAGGTGCCGTTTGACACTAGCCCTCATTATATATGTTTTTATTAAGGGCCTGGTTTTTCAAAACGGGCCTCCCAGTTATTTGCTAGTTATTTTCAGTCTCTTGCAGAGATTGAATACGCAGAAGAAAATCCAAGTGGATTGTCACCCCCGAAAAGCAGGTGAACCTGACTGCGGGCACCGGTTGTGCCTTTGGGAGCAGGGCAGCGAAGGGGAGACGCTCAGAGTCCTCCACTGCCTTGCTTGGATTTCCCTGCCCTAAAGCTCTGCCCGTGTTGTTTGCTCCATTCCCGCTCAGACGATTTATTCCTTAAGAGCACTCAGAACCGTTAATAGAGTTGTTAGGCGGTTTTTCTCAGATGACTTGGACTCCGGTCTCTAGAAACACGACCCGTCAGAGCGGCACGGGGCGCGGGAGCCCTCCCTGCCGGCAGGCACGGCGCGAGGGGTTTGATGCCCGTGGGCAGGACGGCGTGTCCCTGTTCCTGGAGTCGGGCATTTGGAAGGAGGAGTGTTGGGGGCAGAGCACCCTGTACCATGGGAGCACAGCTCAGGGTGCGAGAGCGCCTTTTGGGAGCGGGTCAGGATTGAGGACGGGGATGTGCCAGCGTCCGCTGCTCGCACCTGCCACGGGGAAAGACCTTTAGTGCCAGGGGACGAACAGCATAAGCGTGGTTCCAGCACGCAGTCCTCCTCCTCGAAAGAGCCCAAGCCCCCCAACCCTTCCCTTCCCATGTTTTGATGCTTGCAGAAGTGCCCGTGGGGCCTGTGGCACAACTGTGGCTTGGAGCGTGAGATAGGAGCACGTGCGAACCTGATGGAGGGAAATCTGAAATCTGCTTTTTTAGTAAGTTGTCATGCCCAAATGCTCAGGGTTAGGATTTGAAAAGAAAAATACTTGGCCGTTGCTGCAGGAGCATCCCAGGCAGCGTGCCGGAGAGCTTCGTCTGCCTCCCGGCTCTGCGGTACCCAAACAGCGGTGGTGTTGCAGCCGCACCGATGTGTATGTATAAGTATACACAGCAATACAATACGTACAGAGATACAGCTGTATTCCTATGGCTCGGTATAGAGGGGACCTGGCAGGGCTTTTTACTACAGTACAGTTGTGTCGTGAAACCTGTTCTCCTGCATGGGTGCTGCGGTAAACCAGCCTGGCAGGGCGTCCCGGCGGGTGTCGGTGCGGAGCCATGCTGTTCGCAGTCACCGTCCCGCAGGGCTCTGCACTGCGGCGCCTCGTCACCTGCCAGTGGGCGTTATTCTGGTTCCTCCTCAGGTTACGCTATTTACTTCTTTAATAAAAAAAAAAAAAAAAAAAAAAACTGTCCTATTGGTATTTACTGTTGTCCAAGTGAAACGAGGCTACAGACGTCACGATTCACCTGTTTGCATTTCCATTTCTGTACTGGGGCGCGCCGGCTGCCGGAGCTGCTGGCAGGGTCCCCGGACGGGCCCCTCTCCCGCATCCTCCGCTCTTCCCTACCAGCACGGGGACGGCCCCTCGCTCCACGGGCGAGACACACGCAATCACTTTGGCGACTGCTCTATCTTCTCCCATCACGTTATTTTTTTCCTGTAGGCCTTTATAACTCAGTACGTAGCCTTTTTTTTTTTTTTTTATTGCAATCACTCCCTTTCTGTGTCTTCTTTTTTTTTTTTTTTTAATTTCTGGGACTTATCTTTTCAGTTTAATCTATTAATTTCTGTTCTTATTTCACTTTGCAGACTATTTGCCGATTTCACAAGACATAATTTTTATCAACTAGTTCTTAAAGATGCATAACAAATTAATCGGGGTTTACTACAGTGCTAATGAGAGAGAGAGAGAGAGACAGACAGAAAAAGCCTGGGTGGTCCATGTTTAATATCAATGTCCACTGAAAAATTGCTGCTCTTACTGGCTGGTTTGATTGACTGGACTTTTTATTTTATTTTTATTTTTTTAAAGGCTCCATATCCTCACTGCTTTGAGTTTGCTTTTTATTTTTTTATTTTTTTTTATTTTTTTTTTCCTCTGCTTTGTTATGAGTTTTTAATGCCCACTTGGAATGTAACTCACAAGGATTGGGGTTAGGGGCGTTATGAAGGCATGACTTCTCACAAACTTTTTAGAAATAATTTTATCAAGGAAGCAAAAATGATGATTGGGTCTCACAAGCAGCCCCAAAGAGAGATATTGGCGCTTTTTAACATAGAGTCGTTCATCAGTAGCACAAATCATAATTAGGGTGGAGCGAGACTAGCATCTCCCGTCACTAGGATCATTAGCAACGCAGGGTTTATTATTTAATTATTCCAAACGAGTGCCCTGCGTCCGCACGTGTGACCCTGTGGCGCTGGCGGCTGCGGGCGCAGCAGACCCACGCGTGTTTTCTCCCGTTCCGTTCGCTTTGGGTCGGTGGCTCTTCCCAGAGCTGCCGTAATCACGCAAGGGCCGTGGCTCGCAGCCGCCAAACGAAGGGCTTAGGCAGTTCCGCACCTCCGGCAGCAATCCCTGTCCCAGCTCCGAGCCGCTCACCGCCCCCTCGTCTCGCAGCCGGCCATGCGCTCGCATACTCCCTGCAGTCGCTTCTACTTCCAGACTTTGCTTGCAAATCATGGGCAAATTACTTAAATTTTGGCAAGAGGTTCAAGCTTTCCCCTGCTAGCTTATCGCGCCTCTGAATCTCCACCCAAATCGCAGAAGAGCTGCAAGCCTATGTGATAATGCCTCCATCCATTGGCTTTATTTTTAACAAGACAGATTCTGGACTTCTGGGTAGAAAACACACGTCATATTTAAATTCTGTTTTTCTTGAAGTGTTTCTACCCATTTTATAAGTTTGTGAGAAGTAAATTGCATGCTTACAGTAGAACTGTAATGCATTTTAATGTTTGTTAATCCACTTGTTTAAAATGTCAGTGTCAAAGGCTCTACAATACACGGCTATGCTGTTCATTTCATTAAAGATGCTTGATGTAATAATTGGTTAGTTTTCTTTTTACTTTTCTGCAGGCAATAGCTTTTTTTAATCTGTATGGCTTCTTATTATTTTGTTTGGGTTTTTTTGCTATGAATTGCTTTGCTTTTGTGAACTTGTCTTAGTGTGCATGATTTGCAAACATTTCAGCTATTGTGAATTTTCTCATTTTTTGTAAATAGTCCATCTGTGCTTTTCTTTTTTTCTTTTTTATGACTTTTTTCCTGTAAGTAACTGAGGTAGAAAATAATAATAAATTGTTTACAACGGATATGCTGTGTTGCTGCTCTCTTAGCTTGCAGTTTTAATATTTTGGTTTGGACGCACCAAATAACCAGTACCAATGACAATTTAATAAAAGAATAAAACAACCATCACTCAAAGTGTGTGACCCAGTGTTTGAAGAATCTGGAGATGAACGGTTACATACGAGGTGTGTTTACAGCAAAAATTAAAACCAAAAAAGACAACAATGCACTTGTAATTGGGGAGAGAGGAGTGACTCCGTGTTAAAATTGCAGTATTCCCAGCAGTCTGGTCTTCCACCACTGTGGTCAGTGCAGTCCGTGCCAGCGACCGAGGTGGGTTTAAGCGTCAAACCCATAAGCGTATTAGAAAGCCTGGTTGCGA